ATTCCATATCTTATACTGTTCTACATTTTCTATATAGTTTTTCCCCTCTTTTAATTTTTTCAATTTTATTTTGATTATCTCATCTCAATTCAAACCATTATATTTATACTTTTGTCTGTTTTGTTTCAATTTCATATTATCTTTTCTCATTAAACAAATTTTCTCCTGTAGTTACTTATTGGAGTATGACACCTTTATATCTTTTAATTACATCCATTCAACTCTTATTTAAATTTCAATATATACCTTAAGGTTATGACCTTCAATATAATACATAATACATAACTTCCAATCAAATTCTGCTTGGTACATTCTTATAATACACACTATATTCTTAAAAAAAAAAGATTATAAATATATGTAATTATAAACCCTCATCCCAATCCAATTCAGTTCTATCATTAATAATCATTAAAATCTTAACATCTTTAACACTTCTTTTCAATCAAATATCATACTTCCTTAAAGACACATATAATCTCCATAATTAATTTTTCCCTTATTTCTCTTCACATATGTTTTGTAAATCATTAGATATTCATTTTGTTACATTTATTTATTGACAAGCATTCCACTGAATTACGATAGCTATTTTATCAAACATTTTAATCATACATTGTTTAATATTTTCTAAAATTATTTGTTTCTAATACAACCATACTATCTTATGTACCTTTGCAGAATCCCTTTTTCCATTAAGTTTTCACCCATTATCTCTAAATAGGCCCTGTTTCTCTATATTTTGCTTCTGTCCTTTATAACTTCTTTTCCTTTCTTTCTTCCCTCTCATCTTCTCCCTCCCCTTTTTACCCCCTTGTCTCTCTACTTCTAATTCTCTCTTTTGCATTTCCCTCTTCTGTTGCTTTCTGATTTTATACTTATTTTTCACTCTATTTTTTTTTGGAGTTGTTCTTCCCAATCTTAAACTTTCTGTTCTCTTTTCCCCCTTTCCTTTCTTCCCCCATCTAAGATTACTTGTTCATTAAAGATGGCTTCTTCTTTGTCACAATCTTCTTGTTCTGCAGGCATTTCTTGTTGTTTCTCATAATTCCAAATCTCCATTTCTAAAAACTGAAATACGAAGCCAAAAGAACCTCTCCCTTCTTGTGCATCTTCTTTGTACTTTTTAAGTTCCATTTTCAGTTCTTCTAAAAGTGGAGCCATTTTAAACAGTTTTAAACAACCACCTGATTGATTTTAGTCATTCAAATATAATAACCAAAAATCCAGAAATCATCAAGTAATCCAAATAGTCCCAAGTTATTTCTTCTTATTTCTTTTTCCACTTTCTCTTCCTGGGGTTTTTGTTGTGATAATTCAGTTAGAATGTATCTTTTGGAAGTCTTATTGAGATTTTGCTGTAAGTTCTTTTTAATTCCAGGCAGTCTCCTCCCTTCCAGATCCTGCCCTTTTATTCTTTTTCTCTCCTTTCCTGTTTTCAAAAGCTTTTGATTATCCAGAAATCTTTATTATCCCTTTGACTTTTTATTTTCAGCATTAAATGCTTATTAATGTCAACGTGGATTTTTTTTCCAATTTCTTGCTTAAGTCTCTTAGCTGTCAGTATAGGAAAAGGAGAAAAAAAAACCCAAATCTTTCCCCTTTTCTCTCTCCTTCACACCTTAAAAATCTTCTTAGGGAACAATGTTTTTTTTTTTAATAGTTTCAATTCCAGGGTATCTTATTTGTTGCTTTTGCTGTTTGACCCAGTCAACCAAAACTTTCTCTTCTTATCTTCCTCCTGCACATTCTTTTCCGGTTGAGTTCTTCTTTGTGGTGTCAATTTCTGACCACCGCTGCAACCGCCTTTGGGAAAGGGAGTAATGGCCAGCTGGAAAGGAGAGATGCAGCTCTCCTCAACCCTGCAGGCAGTCTCCCGCTTGTTCACCACCTCTATGGGGTGGCTTAGCCCCGAAAGTAGCCAGCTTGGAGCGCTCCAGTGGCGAGTACGGATTGAAGCCTCGCAGAGACAAGGTTTTGGTCTGTCGCTGAAGAAGCTCAAGCTGGAAGCCCTAAATTTTTAAAGCCATGTTTGCATGTGTGATTAAATTATTAAAACCTGCCCATTGTTTTGATTTCAATTGTTCCTTCTGTTCTTATCAGTAGAGAAAATGGATCTGCTGTAGTAAGATTTTGAAATATTTTAGTAAACTTATATATAGCCTCCAATTACATTAGACTTTTTACTTGAGCTAGTCACTATACTATAGAAAAATAATAGGATATTAACTTAGGATAGCAAGATATTAATTTGTAGTTGAGTTCTTATCTGCATAAAAGGGCTTATGGCCCTGTAGTTGGATTTTACCTTACTTTGAACTACAGAACATCAAGTGAGACAGGAGAAACTCTTTTTGAAAACCCAACAATTTTCTTAGAGTATGGGACCCCAAATTATCTTGGACATAGTCTATAAGGATCTAGTTATATATGTAGTTCTTGGATCAGGGCATTTTAATTAGAATACATTTATTTTTAGCAGGTGCTTTTTACCACTTCAAAGAGGAAATTTAAATAATTGTCCTAGCTTATTTTTTTATAGATGCTGCCTTACTCATTATGTGAAGTTGTGCTCTCTTTTGTTTTTGTTTTAAAGCTATGTAAAACTGGGTTAAAAAGACAAAGACAGGTACAGCAACTTCCTAAATAATGGTCATATGTTTTTCTGTTATCATGATGGAATGCCATGCTTGCTGTACACTAATGCACTTTTTGGGCCTTGCTTTTGATGTCCAGCTTCTTAGGTTTTGCATGACAAAAACGTAGCAGAATTTTGTTCTTTCAACACATTTGAAAAATACTGTAACTGAGAAAAGAATGTATGATTATAATCTTCATATATTACCTCTAAGATCCACTTCCACTGCTGGATTCCAGGGAATCTCTTATCATAGTGTGAATACACTCGCACGGAGAATGAATTAAATATAAATTTTCCAGGATTATTTTACACTGCATGAAAAAAACTATTTTTTGTCAATAATTATTATCATCAGTACTATCTTTTAGACTGAGTTTTTTTTCTTTTTTCGTGTATGATATAAATATTAGTGTAGTTGGAATGCAGTTAAAATCACAAAACCAGAATTCTCGATACAGTGTGCTTGAAAAACACAGTAGATGTATGCAAAATGTTTGAAATTTAAGTGTTTCAAGTTTAAAATTGAATGTTTTGACAATTTTGAAGTTAACATGGGTTTGAAACAGCTGCTTGCCTCTTACAGACGTCCAAAATGATGGAAACAGCCTGGTTTCAACTCAAAACAACACTTTTAGATGAGAAGCAGATTAATTTGAATTTGAAACAGTTCAAATTGGATACATTCCTTAGCAGAGATATAATTTAATGTGCTTGTGGTAATACAGCTAGCTTTATGAAAATCTTATACAAATACTGACTTTTGTAACAACACCCCCCAAAAACTCCTTCCTGAAATTGTGAACTATGTAGATTGATTATACAGGCCTGTTTGATTTCTGTTCCTACATATTGATCAATACATGTAGAAATCCTTCAGTCTGTCCCTATTTAATACATACAGTATGTAGAATGGTTTCTTTTATTCCATTGAACTTTTTAAAATGTAAAGCTGCCTGTTCATTTAAAACAATCTCAGTTTTAATTCCAAAATGTAGTAGCATGTTCAATCTTTTTTCTACATCTGATCAGATTATCAACACAAGTAGATTGTGAAAAATGTATGGTGTTTGACAATTAAAAAACCCTTTTGCTAATGTTGCATTGATGTTAACATGCATGAAATTATCAATTTGATATTTTAAATACTTATATAGACAGTTGTAAGTAATTGATACACGATCCTAATCTGTCTTTGGAATTTGAGGGGATGAATGCAACATCTTGTAGAAATTTATTTTAGAACAGTATTCTTGAACCTAGAGTATGTAAAAGTGGGCCATATTAGCCAACATTTTTTTCTAATTGTCACTAGAAAGATACCTTTCGGCTTCTGAGATCTTGAATTTAATTATATGAGTGAGCAAGCATTTCTAGTAGTGTCCCCCCACCCCCCACCCCGCTTTATTTCTGACTTGACTCAGGCAGAATTGTCCACCATTCTTCACACTTTTTCTGGTACTTGTTTTTGGTAACATAACATTAGTTTAAATTACTTTTTCTTTTTAGTCAAATCTTCCAACTGATCTTGAAAATCAACTGCATATTAGTCACAGGAATGCATTCAGAGAAAATATGAGGCAACTGAGAATACAACTTTCTCAGTTACAGCTTTTTATTAACTATATTAGCTTTTATTAGGATTTATGAGTTCATGAAAACAGCAAGTTGGTTTTTAAGTCAGAGATTATTGTTCAAATTGAGTGAGGTACTTTCTACTCTTCTTTAAAAAAAAACTTTATTTGGAATATAGAAAATGAGTGCAGCCTGCTAGGCTTTAGTGCTATGATTGTACATACACCATGAAAGACATTACATGCACAATAAAAATATGAGAAGCTCTTATACAGCATTATCACTAATATTGCATGTCTACACAGAAGTGATACTCCTTCCTCTTTTTAACTGACTTAAATGTCTGGTTCCAGGACTGCTTCATCTTTTGTTATACTCTAAAACTGGCACGTGCCTTTGAGACAAATTTACATATTTTAAACCTAGCCATGATTATTTTTCATTTGAGCAGTATGCTCCATCCACTAGGTTCTACTGTGAATGAACTTGGTACTGAAAGAGTAGAAAACAATGGAGAGGTCCATCAAGATTTTCCTTATTTTTGTGCTAGGAGTAATTTCTTTAAAAAATTATTTTCCATCTTACAAAACCCTTCAGGGAAAATTCTTGCCTGTGACACTATATCATGGTGTATACTTCAATCAGTGAGTCCTCTAATGGTATGTGAGTATTCCCAATTCCTGATACTTTAATGGTGACGCAAAACATGTTAGCTGTTGTTTGTATTCACAAAGGAATCACAATAAACTTTTAAATATATTGCCTATTGCACTTCTCCTTTGCATAGGGGACAGTCCCTGGATCAGGAGCATCCCATGTTCCTTTGAGCTCAATGAGCGTAGATGCTGTGTGTGAGAAGCTGAAACAAATAGAAGGATTAGATCAGACTATGCTGGCTCAATATTCTGCAACTATAAAGAAGGTATGTTTCTGCGTGCATAAATTGTGCATCTCCTCCTTAGTCTGTAAAAATTTACTGTTGGAGAATCAAAAAAGAGAATAATTATCTTTCAGTAGCTTGGATATGCAGAGAATATATTAAGTTTGTTTTACTGCCAAAATAACATTAATGAATTAAGGATAGATCAAAGGTAAATTATATTTAAAATAAAATACTAAACATGTGTTAAGTGGGCCTGAGATTTTTTTTGTTTTAAAGATGCGGGTTATTAATATAACAGTCCCTTTGGGAAGGCTTTCTTTTTCCTTTGTGGTATTTGAAAATAAGCAAGTTTGGGCAGTAAATGTGTTGTTCTCCTAAATGAGAAATGAGCAACTTTAATTATTAAATTTAATGGTTTTTTTCCCAAATGATTTTTATTTTATTCAAATGTTAAAATATAAAACTCCAAAAAAGGATTAAAAAAAAACTCCAAAAAAAATCACAGAAGCAAATAAACAACCACCAATAAGAAATGAGCAAAACATTAAAAAGGGTATTAAAAATACACAAAGATATATTAACATATTATCCTCCCCCTGTTGAATACTGATAAATACATTACAACATATTAGTTTCCCACATCTTGCGAAACAGACCCCAATTTCCCCCACCCCCCCAAAAAAAATTCTAATTCTGCTTACAAAATATTAACGTGTCATTTGTCTCCTATATTAGTGGACAAATAGTTAACAGGTAGAAGAGCAAATGAACAAAAAGCAAAACTAAAAAAATCAAAACCCTCTATTAACAAACTACAGTATTATATATTATCTATAACTGTCTGGTTTGGCTCTGCACCCAAACAAGACAGACACAGAATTCAGCAGATAATTAGAACTGCAGAAAAAACAATTACCTGCCTTCCATTGAGGACCTGTATATTGCACGAGTCAAAAAGAGGGCTGTGAAAATATCTACAGACCCCTCACATCCTGGACATAAATTGTTTCAACTTCTACCCTTAAAATGATATTATCGAGCATTGCACACCAGAACAACTAGACACAAGGACAGTTTTTCCCCGAATGCCATCACTCTGCTAAATAATTCCCACAACACTGTCAAACTATTTACTAAGTCTGTGTTACTATTCTTCTTCTCATCCTTCCTATTACCTGTCTCCTCCCACTGATGGCTATAACCTTGTTGCTTGTATCTCTATTATTTATATTGTTTTATTCCTTTCCTAGTATGATTTGATTGCTTATTTAGTAACGTATGACTATCACTGTTGTATCTTATTCTTGATGAATGTATTTTCCCCTTTTATATACACTGAGAGCATATGCACCAAAGATAAATTCCTTGTGTGTCCAATCACATTTGGCCAATAAAGAATCCCATTCCTATCTGATCCTATTCTATTCTAGTTTTCAACTTGTAGCAAATTTACCATGGCTTCTTATCTATCCCAAGTCATCCCAACAGTTAACTCTGATTCATCCTGGATCAAATATCCATGATTGTGGATAAAACCTTGATTAAAAACACTGATAGCATAATACTTAATACATAATACAGCTTTCAATAATTAGCCTGCAATCTCATTTATACATCACACAATTGTTTCAATCTCCCAACAAAATGGATACTGCAAGAGGAATAAGTACTTCCTCCTGTAGACCTTCTCCCAGTTCCCAAATGGTTGAAATTTGCAATTTTGAATACTGTATCTGAAACTTCTGTCAAGTTCCTCCTAGAAAAGACTTTAATTCAGTTTGGCCTTTATTTAATCTGACACATTTTGGGATATGTGTGGGGTAACCTGTAGTATCTATGCTGTCAATTTATAAGCTAGTTTTGGAGAGATTCACATGAAGACTAGGCATTACTCATAATATAAATATATAATACAGAATCTTCCTAAAGTTATTATAAAAATACATTATATAATGTATCCTAAATGATAATATTTTCCTTTGAAATATAACACTCACTGTCCTTGAATGCATTATGGATGCACTTATACATGAATTATTTTTGAAATGATTAAAGTTTACTTTTATACTACCGTTTATAAGTAATACCTATGTTGTGTTTCTATAATTTGTTTAGGCTAATATAAATGGTCGTGTTTTAGCACAGTGTAACATTGATGAACTAAAACGTGAGATGAACATGAATTTTGGGGACTGGCATCTCTTCAGGAGTGCAGTAAGACTATTATTATTACATAAATATTAGTATTAATAATTAGGACTGCTGGATGATGGCACTTATATTTACCTTTCTGCATATATTTACTTTGAAGCATATTTTACTTAGTTTCAGTGAAATTCAATGTTATATTTGCATAAGATTTCATTCTAGGAATGGTTTACTTTACCTTACCTGATTTTTGTTAATAATTTCTACACAATTTGTAGTTTCATATTTCAAGTGGCAGGAACTGTGCCTGGAAACATTGCTGTCCATCAGGCTGGAGTCCTTGCATCCTTGTACAGTTGTTTACTTCAGTGTCAATAGAAATATAAAATTAGGTTTCTATAGGAGGAAGGGGATAAGGAAGGGATACTTTATATTTATTAAATAATTATGGAGTTCATGTGATTAATTAAAATATGCATTTAAACCATTTGGGTATATTTAAGTATTCAAGGTTAAGCCTTGCATAAATAATACATGTTTTAGCTTGCCTCATTGTGAAATATGTATACAAATACAAGATGAGATCCAAAGAACTCCTTGTAAGTGCATTTGAATGTGCTTTAAAACAGTGTTTCACAACTGCCAACTAGATATGTAGTTAATTGCCTAAATTATTCCCCAATCAGTGTAGCGATTGCTGGAGCTGAGTTTCCAAGGTTGTGAAATGCTGCTTTAGACTGAGTGAATCATGTAAAGCTCGAGGTTGTCATAGAAAGTATGCTTCATAGTTCTTTGCTAAAATAAGACCATGTTTTAGTTATGCTGTTATGTTCAACTTGCAGTCTAATATCTTTCTTATGTTAGGTACTTGATATGAGAAATGCAGAAAGTCAAGCTGTCCATGAAGATTCTCGAACAGTGGCTGAGCATGCCAACACCATTCCTCATAATGAACTCACTCGGCGTCCAACTCTAAACAACGAATTACCCCATACAGAACTTACTGGTCTTCCAGGTCAAGCTCCTTATGCTCTCAATTTTAGCTTTGAAGAATTGAACAATATTGGCCTAGAGGAAGCCCCTCCACGTCATAGCAATCTAAGCTGGCAGGTAATTTCACTTCAGATTAGATATAATTTATCAGTGTCTTCTGTTTTAATCATAACTATTATTCACATACAAGAGTAAAGCTCCTTAAAAGAGTTTTAAAAAGAGCATATGTTGCACATCAGAAATAACAATAAAACTAAAAGTTACTACATTACTAGTTCAAGTTTTGTAAGTACCATTCTCATTATACAGTTGTATGTTCCATTTCATTTACACAGGTTATATATAGACATTTCTGAACAAATTTACCGTTTCTTAATACAAAACGTATTGTATTGGGAAAGGCTATTGGTTTTAACAGAAAATTGATACAATTGTTCCTTTCAGTCTAAATGCTGTTAATTAGAAAATTAAACTAAATGATGTAAAATTTCCAGCTCTTCATGAAACCATTTATATGATAAATGAATTTGCTGTATTGAATTCTCACAGAACCCTACCCTCACAGGACCAATCTCAACACATGCTAGTTATATACTGTACCATTAATGTAGTGCCCTTTTCTGAAATATCAAGAAGTTTTTATTCGTAACTTCTTTTTCAGGTTTAATTTTATTCATTTGTGCCTGTTTAGATGTATTATAGATATAAATCCAGACAATATTTTATTATGTTTTCTTTGTCTTTAAACAGTCACAAGCCCGCCGGACTCCAAGTCTTTCAAGCCTCAATTCTCAAGATTCTAGTATTGAAATTTCAAAGCTTACTGATAAGGTACAAGCAGAATATAGAGATGCATATAGAGAATATATTGCTCAAATGTCACAGTTAGAAGGAGGTGCAAGTTCTAGTACAGTGAGTGGTAGATCTTCACCACATAGTTCAGCAGCATTTTATATGGGCCAGAGCACATCCACAGGTTCTCTTCATTCCAATATGGAACAAGATAAGGGAAAGGATGCTGAACAGAAACAAGATGATGGAAGGAAATCCTTCTTGATGAAGCGGAATGATGTTGTAGATTATAGTAGTTCGGTATCTACTAATGATGCCTCTCCATTGGATCCCATTACTGAAGAAGATGAAAAATCAGATCAGTCTGGATCCAAGCTTCTTTCTGGGAAGAAATCTTCAGAAAGAACTAGCATTTTTCAAGCTGCAGATCTGAAGTTGAAAGGAGTAGCTCTACGTTATCAGAAACTTCCAAGTGATGAAGATGAGTCTGGAACAGAAGAATCTGATAATACACCTCTACTCAAGGAAGGTAAAGATCGGAAAATAGAAGGAAAAGTAGAGAAACAGTCCAAATCTCCAGAACATGGCTCTGAGCCCATCAGAACCTTGATTAAAGCAAAAGAATATTTGACAGATGCTCTTCTAGACAAAAAGGATTCCTCTGACTCTGGAGTAAGATCCAACGAAAGCTCTCCAAATCATTCTCTCCATAATGATGGAGATGACTCACAGCTTGAAAAAGCAAATCTCATTGAGCTGGAAGATGATGGCCGCAGTGGGAAAAGGGGAATTCCCCATAGCTTGAGTGGCCTTCAAGATCCGACAATCGCACGTATGTCAATTTGTTCAGAAGATAAGAAAAGTCCTTCGGACAGCAGCTTAATAGCAAGCAGTCCGGAAGAGAATTGGCCAGCATGTCAAAAAGTCTACAATTTAAATCGAACACCTAGCACAGTCACCCTGAATAATAACAGCGCGCCAACCAATAGACCCAATCAGAATTTTGAGGAGTCTGATGGCATCGTAGTAGAACCTCCTCAAATCATTTTGTGTCCTGGATCAAGTTCTAATTCAGTCGCAGTTCAGAATGATAATATTAAAGGCGTGACCCATAAGCGTAGTCAGCGTTCAAGTTATTCAAGGCTTTCAAAAGATTCTTCTGAGCTTCTGACCGTTATTGGTTCTGATGCTGCAGGCTTTGGAGAAGAGAGAGAGAGTATTCTTTGAAAGTAATCCAAGTTATTACCATATTGACTCCATCTACCTGACTTATTTATTTTTATTTTTTATACAACCTCCTTTTCTTAGTTCCTCATCAGATTTACACATTTCTTTATCATTCCAATCTACAGCTTGTTTCTCTGTCCTCTGCTCATGTTTGCTCTTCTCATAAAACGTAGGGTTGTAATCCAGTCGAAATCTTATAGCTTAGAATAGAAAAAATTCACAATATATTGAAAAATAGTTGAACAATGGCCAGCATAAATGAGCAGCCATTGATCAGGTAGAGATGGTGTTCAATTTTTCTAGGACGAGGATATCTGTTTTGGTCTGCATGTTGAAAAGTGGTGCTGAGATAAAAATGAATATCGTACATCTGCGTAAGAATCAGTGTATCAATTTGATTTAACATTTTTAATTATCAAAGGGACTGTCTAGAGGTCTACAAATTTGATACCTATGATTTTACAGTTTTCAATCCTCTGACACTTTAAAAAGTATTGATGTTTAAATTGCTGGAATTGAAATATTAAAACTCATTTTTTGCTGGTTTAAATGATTTTGTCTTTGGGAATGTTATATTTGTGATTGCAAATTTGAGGAATGAATACTGCATGTTTGAAATGATAATTGTACTCAAGATTTAAGAATAAATTGCCTGATTTTTTTGTTTAAGAATAAGAATAGTTCTAAAGTAATTGTGACCTGTGATTGTGGTGTTCTATAGTATTATTTTCGAGGGAATGCTTTGATGTAATCTTTTGAAAGTATTTCTAATTTTAAACAATAGTGGCCTTTGATTAATGTGTTTTACTTGATTGTGGAGAGCAAACAGAATTGGTGGCTTTCATGGCCTTAGTATTTAGCAAAAATGTAATGTTTGCCTTATGTAGCAATGTAGCATTAATTATGTCCATTTTGTTTTTAGCATTGTGAATAAAGTATCAGTACTTTATATGCAAATGAAAATGCATGATTTTAAATAGGATTTGTCTATTGTATACATTCCACTACAATGGAGGTAATAATAAAATCACAGGCATGCTTCTTTGTATTGGATGTTTTCTTTAATTTTAATGAACATCTCTTCCGTTGTTTGATAGGGTTAAACAGTCGACTTCTTAAAAAGAGGTATTATGATAGAATTAATCTAATTATGAATTCAGCACTTATGGTCCTATCATATCCCTGTGTCTCCATTAACTTTGGTGGGAGCTGTTAAGGGCTCTGTAAAGAGCTTGAATTCACCATCTTTTTTTGTATTTCTGAGCTAAAATCATCTGTTGATCTCTTCATCATCTCTGCTGCGTAAATACTTTTTTAGTGAGAAGCTAGATCATTTATTCTTACTTACTATTTTCCTAACTGCTTAAAGAATCTTATCCTGCTGCTTGAATGTTGATGTGAGATCAGTACATGCAATATGGTTTTCCCAGAGTATGAAATTCAGCTATTTTCTGTTTGGAAGTATATGGAAAATAGCTGAAAATAACAATAGAACCCATCCAGTTTGCTAAAGGAAAGAAATTAGATGGAGTCTGTCTAGAGCATTTCCTTTTTTAAATAGAGTGCTTGTGTAATTCTATGTACATAACAGAATTCTTCAAGTCCTGAATTAGGTAGACTCTTGAATCAAAACCCTTAGCATTAAACTTGTTTTCATGTAAAAGCTCAAAATTCCAACAAAGCTTTACCATGTCTGGGGGCTTTTCATTTCAATATATAGTTTGTATTACGCATTCTGTATTGTGGGAGATATTTTAATGCCAAATAGTTGCTGCTATAGTTTCAATATATTTTTAAAAGAACATATATTTTTATTGAAAGTCTTCATTGATATTTACAGGCAGAATACATACAAAAATAGAGAGGGGAAGGATATCCTCATAATGAGAATGGGGGAAAGTATAGAAGACAGTGGCTGAAGAGAGAAAGAGCTACCAAATACACAAGAGAAAAGATATCAGGTCTGACATAGCTCACAATGGATATTTTACCTTTCTTTTTCTTCCCCTCCCCTTTAAAAGTATTAAATGATAATGAATATAATATATAAAATATTATTCTGAAAAGGCTGTTACATTTCCTAGTGATGGAACTTTTTCATAATACCATGAGAATTGTCGAGGGCTACGCAGAAGTTAAGAAAGTTCTGTGGAAGTTGCAGAAGGGATTTTTAATGTTGCAATTCTCAGGAACGTCTCATTTATTTCAGTATATCTAATTAAATTAAGGATTATGTCCTTAAGCTCATCATGTTAACTTTTGAAACTAGGATGAGTCCTCAGATAGAAACTAAAAAAACTGAACTAATTCCAAATTGTTTATTAAAAGTTTTAGATACTAGCTAAAAAACTAAACCAAATTTGAATTGTTCTTCAAGTGCAATTCATGAAACATATAGAAGAAAAGCTTGGGTAGAAAAAGAATGAAAATGAATAAGAAAATGTAATTACTTTGGTTTTATTAAGAAAATTGTACCATCTAATCTTATCATACATGAAAGGACTTCATTATCCTAAATCATGATTTGTTAAATAAATTGCAGTCAGCTGGATTTATGTAACATGCTAAGCCAAAACTAAGTAATAGATCTGGACTAGTGATGTGTAAAAACATTTTGAATTTGAATAGCTATTCCCATCTTATCAGAAATGTTATCATGATGTGGGAAGTATTTAGAACATGATACACTTCTGGTATGATTCATTTCATGCTTGGGAAAAGAATGTGAGATTTTGCACATCCCCAATTGCTAATATAAAATGCTACAGAGTACAAATTGGTTATTTTCATACTTGATTGTGTAATTTTGTACTATAAAGCAGAGGAATTAAATTTTAATGCTAAGTTTAAGGGTGTTTAAAACTCAAGTTAACCTGGACAGGTTTTTGCACATCTCTGCTAAGTATTACTTACCTTAGGTCCATATATTAAGTTTTAAGAAGTAAGCTTCCATTCATAGCAGTATTTGGATTCAAAATCTAAGCTCAAACAGTGAGATGTTGACAAACACCCTCATAACTTTTTTTATTTCCTGCTTCCAAAAAAGCTGCAGTAAGCCATGTACTTTCCTCTTCTCTTTAGATTGTGACAAGACTAGAACAATTAGGTGTCATTAGGTAACAAGACTAGAACAATTACTTCCTCTTAAACAACTGTAATTCCCAGTTAGGTCTTGTAAACTATTTGTTTTAATTGATATTGGCTTGTTCCCATATAAGAACTCAAATTAATCACCTTTTCCCCTAAATCAAATATAGCAGAACAGTAGTAAAGAGGAGCAAATACTTTTATTTTTCTTTTCTACCATATACTTAATGGAGGCTCCCATATGCAAATTGCTTACAATTTGCAAATATTAGATTTCAGAACACCAAGGGCAGTGACCTAAACTGGAAAAGCTCCAATATTTTAATTATGAGTACCTTTAAGTTCTTTGTGTTACGTCTGTATAATTGCTGAAACTTTTTGATTTATTTACATGCTATCAAGTTGCTGTTTTAGAAAGCAGATAGATCTCCAGGATGAGTTGAGACAGTCCATAAATTGTATAGCTAGAACAAGATTAGCTTGTTAAAGCATATGTATGAAACTTCTTGAAGCCATGTATAGAACCTGCATTTTATTGACTATACAGTATACTAAGCTTCAGTCTTGAACAAAGAAATATATGAAATTACACTATGACAACAATTAGTTAATCTAAACTTTCTTGGAATATTAAGAGGACTAAGTGACATATTTGCCAATAAGGCAGGTGTTCCATTGCTCCCAGAGCATTATTGGATAGCAATTTTTGGTTTTTATTAAATCTCTCCAGGTTTGAATTGCTTTCCCTTCCGTCTCTATCAGGAAACATGGTCTTGGGATTTTCCTCTTTGCAGTTATTCATGCTAAAGAGGAACAAAAATTCTTTTGGTATTAGTGTTCCTTTCTATTTTCAGCTTTACATACATTTATGGATGGCATGATTCATTATTTTGCTTCAATGAGACCCTCCCCCAATTTGGCTTGGGCTGAAAAGTCTGAACTAGAGAGGCAATAGATATTTCCATTTTTACCAGCTCTGAAAGCACCCATCTGCCCAAGTTGAGCACAGAATGATAGAAAATGGTTTTCTTCTATAAAACAGCTGTGACCAGCCCCCTCCTATTCATCTGAAGAGAAAATTCAGGTTGAATAATCTAGTTCCTCTGCATCGAATTCATAGGCATCTGTTGTGTCTATGTAGAGGCACAGGCCAACAGCCAAATAAATGGACTTGATGATAGTTGGTAGCAATTCAAGTTTTTTTTTTCTTTTTTGTATTAGTTACTTCTTTAAAAAGGATTAGACTTTTATTGTGTTGTATATACACCACCACCCCATTATCTGAATAGAGTTTCTAGAAACTCTGCTTTGATAATAGACTTTCACAGACCTATACTTAGACTTGCATCTGACATATTTAAAAGCCTCTGCTCAGGTTCTGCTCTTTTTGGTGTCAGGAAGTTTACAATAAAAATGTTGTTAAATTACATAGATATGTGCATGTTTTTTGTTGCTATTGATCTGAATCTGATTCAGCAGAAGAGTAGCTACTCCGACTTTTGGCTTTTTCACATTTACTCTGAAATTTTTGTCTTGGTAAGCCTCTGGTATTGAGAATGGTATTGCTGAGGATATAAGTGTCTCAAGGTAAATTTCCACTGTAACCCTACTAATTCCTACACTTATTCAGAGGTAAGAAAAAAAAAAACGCTCTTCCCTTGCTTAAATTGCTATCGGTAATTAAAAACAACAGGCTCAATATGGAAGTGGAACAAAGGAAAGACTTTAGAACCAGAAGAAAATTGATGACAGAAACGCTGTCTTTATTCTAGCTGGGTGCATCTGAGAAAGCATGGCCTTCTTTAGGGATCCCTTCTTTGTCCCTCAACTCTCCTGTGATCTCCATTGAGATCTCTGGAATAAAACAGTGCCATTTAAACTCTAGCAAGATTATATGAACTGGTCAAATACAATAATGACATTGGACTAATGGTATTGGTTTTAAGAGTTAATAAACATGAATTGATACAACAGAAGCATTTATTAGATTCAGAAGGTTTTAACATACATGATGTAGCACACACCAATGGTGCAGAGGTTAAGTAGTGATGGGATAAATTCACTGATGTGAGCCAAATTACAAATTCTACATGAACAAATGTAGTGGCTGACATTTGACTTTTAGTTTTCAAACAAAACAAATGTATACCACTGAGCTAAATAACACAAATAGATGAGGTGCTTTTCCTCCCGCTTGCATTGTTTATCTCCAGTTGAAAGAAGCAGTAAAAGCAGTAAGAGTACTTGCTGAAATTACATTTTCCTTTAAGAGTGACATGTGAATTGTTCATTACAGTATGTATGTTCTTATTCTGGGTTTTCATTCTGAGTCTTTAAGGCAGCTAATAACACCGAAACACCAGCATTAACTGTAAATTGAGGTCAATCAGAATAAAACAGCAAGTAAAGGTAGAGCTACTGAAAGTCTGATCAAGCACTCAGAACTTACTGGTATACAGAAATCTTCCCAGAGAAGCAAAAAGCAAAGTATTAATAAGAAAAATGGTGGTGGTGGTCATCGTTGGCTTCCAAGATTCTTAAATTTCTTCAATGATGCTACACTGAATTGAATAAAATCTTTTCTGAACTCAATATTTTAAATCTGTTTTGATACCTTATTGTTAAAAATTCTAGTTGACCATCCTCCTGAATGTTTTAATCTTATCCTAACAATGGTTTTAGAGCAACAAAGATATGCATAGTTAACTATTAGTTTTATGATAATGATTTTAGAAGTCAGGTTTTCTGTTGTGAGATGGAGTTACCATGCCATCCCTCACTACTATATGTCCATTCAATGCATTCTGTGGATGGTTGGATGAGGATCTCTTCCTGTCAGATCACTCCTTGTGGAAACATCCTGCATTTATTCATTGACTTGATTTATATTGATTATATTTCTGCCCTACTGGCTACTAAATTAAAATTTTAATTTAAAAATAGAATATAAGAAATTAAGCAGAAAAAGTGCCAAAATCAACAATTAAAAGATAGGGAAAAAGAAATGCATCTATTTCTTAAAAGTCTGAGAGAGGGTCCAAATGCAATTTCCAAATGAAGTAGCATAGGAGAAATTCCAGAGTTCTGTTTTGCAGTAAAGCTGTCAGACAAGTCTTTATCACAGTCAAATATAAGCATAAGTAAGGTAGCGTACTGTTAATTATAAACATAGAGACTACATCTAAAAATACTATTATAAAAAGCTAAAAGAGATGAAACAGTATAAATAAAAAATCAAAGGAATCTAAAGATCATATTAGATGGGTGTAGGGGCCATAAAAGTTAGTGTGTGGCAGGCTGTCATGGTACAGAGCATTTCAGTATGTCAAACTAGATGCTCATGAAGTATTTCGATGTGTGTTTATAGCATAGGCTGTCATCTGCTGGACCTGGAAATGCATATTTATCTGGGTTAGTATCTGAAAGCAGCAGGAACATAGAATCATCCTGTGCACCCTGGGTATTTATGCAATAATGGGGGAATTGAGGTTGGTACAAATGTCCAGTGATGGGCATTCTTTCTCCAGAAGGGAGTCTTCCTATATTGTCCTTCAAGCACAACTGAGAAGAGCACAAGACAGATATCCCTCAACTTATGACCAGTCACTTAGCGAATATTTGAAGTTACTGCAGAAAAGCTATTTATGATCAATTTTTGAAGTTATGGCCACTGCAGCATTCCCACTCATTCTGGATCCTGGACCCTCCTCTCCACCCTGCCCTCACATCATGCACTTAACTTTTAAAAGTCTCCAGAGCATTCCAGACATTATGTTAGTGAAGCAGAGCAGTCTGCTCCACTTTTCTGCATGTATCTGTGTTTGGGTAGGATATATTTCTTATACTTTGTTAACCAAAAGCTAGTCGCCAAAAACACAATTATCAACATTTCTCTAGAAAGGTGTGTGTCATTTTCAATGTCTGAGACTGTAAATCCCAGCTTTTCATGAAGAAGCACGCTTCAAGTGCATGTCAAAGGATTCAGCTTTAAGAGTGACAGGTTGCTCTCCCTGCTATTATGTAAACATGGAACCTATTTTCCAAACATGAATCCTTATGCAGCACAAATGCCACAATCTTATTTTCAAGTGAGAAATAGAACAACAAAAAATAGTCCCCAAATTGTGATGGGGAGAGAGGAGAGGTGATGTGATGGACTACACTACAGTAATGGAGCAGGTTCCCAGGAAGAAATGCACAAGACAAAAGGCAGCAGTCCAGAGCTGGAGTCGGCGGAAGAAATTTAGGATGTCCACTCCCCAGAATCTTCCAGGGTACATCCATCAGGGTAAGAGCCTTATCGGTTTAATCTGTCAAGGTTCTGTTTATATGATTTAAGCAAATAAAGAACTGAACTTTGGCTGGACTGTATTATCGTTCATGGGCTAGGCCTGAGACAAAAATGTTACAAAAATTAGGAATAACTTTTTAAAAAGCCAATGAAAAATATTTACCTCACAGTTTTTCACTTTGCCAGTGCTAAAGTGGCTGGAAGCATGGCTGACTGGAACTATGTAAAAACTGGAGAAGTCTGTTCTTTTAATGCAATTTTTGTCAGGGCTCCTAAAGCCATTTGTAGGTGAAAAAGCATTGGATTTTCCCCCTTCGTTTTAATGAACACGTTCTAAGCACTTTCCAGTAATTTGGAATAATTCAACCTGTCATCAAAATCATTACCTTACTGAGAATGAATAAAAAGAAAGTAAGCAAACTTGGGTACCAAATAAAAAATGTAGAAATTTTATAGTTCTAGAATTCTACTGAAATGATGGTTTACGGACTTTGGAGAAGAACCGAACATATTGTCACATCTTTCCTGGATATACAGTTGGATAGAAACACATAAGCCAAGCCTGTTTATATAGTGGTTTAGTGAAAAATTTAAATTAGAAACTTAGCTGTGCCTTGCCTGGGAGAAGGCAACAAATCTTCTGTAGTCCTATATATTCTAGTTCTGAGAACTTTTATTTCATAATTCTATTTAAATGCAGGAATTCCCCCTTTTCATTTGAAAACGGTATTAATATTAAACATTAATATTTAAATATTAATACTAATATTTAAATATAAATATTTATTTTAAAATGTATTTAAAGACATTTGACAGTAAAACAAAGTGGCATTCAAATTTTTGTTTATTGACAGTCTGGGTAGGACCAAACAAAATTATTTTTTTAATATTGGTATATTTTAATGACTAATTTTGCCTTTTTAAACTTTGAAGATGACAAAAAATTATTTTAAAATGCAAACGTACTTATTTTTAATGAATAGTTTTTTGTAGTAAATGTTTTCTATGCATAGGCCAGAAGGTGGCACTCATCTTCCACAGATGTTAACAGGATCTTAAGAGGTTGGCATGAATGGAATGTTGCTCAAAAATATAAATACTAAATATTTGCATGTATTTTCTCAGATACACATCAAAGATGCAACTATTTTATTTCTTCAATTTTATGTGTAGGAATCCTAATGATAAAGATGATTTCATGTTATCCCTTCTGAAAGGCATTCACAAATTCTTAATAACTAAAATTTTATGATTGGCTAGTTCCATCAATTTTTGTTGGAGTTTATAATTTAGAACTCACACTCAAACATACAGATAAAATTTATGAGATTGGAATTGTTTTCAGCAAACCTTAGCTAACACCCATTTCCCAGTTTTATCCAGATCTACTTTCTGCTTGCTGTTGAATCTGTAAAATGTAATTGTTACTGGTATTTGGCTACCTTAGGCTAGAATCCAAAAATTGGCATACTGTTCTTTCAAATATGTGTTGGCTCTTACAATTGCTTAATAAAACTTTAAATGAATTCTTATCACACTTTTATACTCAGAATAGGGATTACGATAAATTATTAGGTAGGGTGTGCTCACTTTTAATACTTTTAAGTTAAATAAATTTGCTTGATTTAGTGTTTTAGATAAATCTTTTTGATATACAAAAAGATTGATCAGGACAACATTCTGTTTTCCTCATGCTGTTGTTCCCATACAACTATAGAAATTATAGATACCTTGAGTTTCAATAGAGGCCGAGTCTAAAGTCTTTTTGAATTTAATTCCTTTTATAAGCTAAATTAGTGGCAATCACTTCTTTTAATTATGTAGTAATATAGACTAATATACGAAGTGTAGGTTAAAAATACTGTATTAATATGTACTTCTAATTGTCTTGGTAATTAAGGTAGCATACAAATAGATACATAAAAATACTTGATATTTTTTTATCATGGCAGTTGCAATGTGTCTTATAAGGAAGGTTTCCACAATTCCTCTGCTTCTTTTAAATGCAAAAGTATACAGTACTTTTAAATTACCGCATACAATTAAGAGTTGTCTGTATAAATTAAGAGTGTACTCGCAGATCAGATATTCAAAAAATTATTTAAAAAATTGAATATAACACAGTTCCATGAAGTTACTATTATCTAAATTCTGACCAAAATTGTGAGGTTAATCTTATCTTCTCCTTCCCCATCCAGGTTCTTAGAAGCCAATGCTTATAAATCAATGTCCATTACTTTTATCACATTATAAAATACATTGTATAACCAAATGTTGTATGAGAATCTCAAATATTGCTAATATGGAATACAACTAGAGATCCTGATGTGTTTAGATTGTGATATAATAAAATCAAGAATGTAAAAATAAGTTATCAATTATTTTAGCCAGGCAGAGTATAAAATAATTTCCCATTCTCTCTCCCAACTAATAGTGCAACCATTAATAAGAGCCTGAAAAATCAATGTAATTTATTACCTGAAATAGCAATTATGTTTTAGACTGGCATGACTAATCCAAAATTAGTGAAAATTTGATCATCTAAAAGTTTATTCTGCCTTTGTCAATGAGCATGCATTCAAATGCAACATGAAATGCAACTTCCTTTGAAAAAAACAAGTGACTCAAATTGTTGAAGTTGCTGTGGTGAAGTACTGTATATAGAATGGAGAAAAGATCACTCATCTCATTTAGCCTTGAAGATTTTGCTTTTGAAAGTAGTATGCTGCATAGCAGACTCTTGAAAGAGTATTTACAGGTAGTCCTTGATTTACAACAATTCATTTAGTGACCGTTCAAAGTTACAATAGCACTCTAGTAACTTATGACCATTTTTCACTTATGACCATTTCAGCATCCCCATGGTCATGTGATTTACATTCAGATGCTTGACAACTGACACATTTATGATGGTTGCAGTGTCCCTAGTCATGATTCTCTTTTGTGACCTTTTGACAAGCAGTCAATGGGGAAACCAGATTCATTTAACTGTTTTACAAAGAACTGCAAGTGATTCACTTAAATATGGTGAGACGAGTCATAAATTGGGGCAAAACTCACTTCTCACTTAGCAACATAAATTTTAATTGTGGTCAGAAGTTGAAGACTACCTGTATTCACTGCACACTTTAAGCTTTCCAATCCACCTCCATTTAACCGAAAGAATGGGAAAGCATCCAAGTTGGCACGGGGTTACACCTTCCAAAAAAACCTGCATAGCAGATTGTTTGTAGCAGCTTTTCTGTTCAGAATAGGGCCAATCGTCCTCTCCCACCCCTTTTCCAGTATCTGTGCATAGACCTGATATTGAGGGCAAAAAAAAAAAAAAGACAGCTGCACCAAACTGCACAGCACCACCCACACACCTGTTCATTTTGGTGCAAATGTTACACAGGCCTCAGGTGGAGCTTCTGCCTTTTCCCAGAAGAGTCTCCAAAGCACACCCAGGTGCCCAGTTTCACACTGCTTGGCAAAGTCTCTATTTGCAATGGATTTTGCTAGCTTGCTTCAAACTGCTTTTGCTGAGTATGCCTGCAGGTTGGCTTAAGTGGGAAATTAAAATATCATTCCCAGCTGCAAAAGAAACGGAGCACATCTCCATTATCTTACAGTAGGGCAAGTTCAGGATGACTGCTACACAGTATAATTAGGACATTAGGGTTATAGTAGGACAAGATTGAAAAAAGGAGTTGTGTAGTGATGAGAATTGACAGAAGAGCAGCAATTCTGCATATGTTTATAATTTAAATCCTGAAGTCCATCTTATTCTTATAGTTGGCATTGCAACCTTAAGACAATACTAGAAAATGACATTTAATTTTTAGAAGAGGTTGAATGCTTAGAAGCAGCCAGAGTTTAATCAATAACATGAGAATGACTTTCATTTCTCAGCAGCTTAGTCATATAGAAAAGCTGCAACTTATTAACTAATACCCTTTTCATGAAATATTGCACATCCATATAAACTTTCCAGTATTCATACATCATTAGCTTACATTAAAACATTAGCTTTTATATTTTTTACATGAAAATTTTGTTTTTACAAGAAGTTAACAGTTGGGAAAATTAGCAGCCCTGTCCTTAATTTCTGCATAATCAAAAGCAAGTTCATCAGAGGTGGAGAAGTTGCTTTTAGAAGTTCACATAGCCAATCAACAGAGGGTGAAAACAGGCAAAGGAATTATTTGTGCACAACAAGTTTTTGCTTCTAAAATTCAAACTTCTCAAGGCAGTGACCAACTTGAAAGTCTCTTCACAAAAAGCTTTGGATTTTTTTTTTAACAACTTTCAATTTCTCAGAGAAAATAAAGAACTTCCAGGACAATCTACATAGAATGTAACTGGTATATTGCCAATTCAGCTGTTCTGCCACAAAACAGCTGGCACTTACAAAGAAGGCAAACAAGCTATTCAATGAACACACAATTTATTTTGATTCTGTATAAAAAGGTTAAGTTTACAACTAAACTTTTATAAAAAGTTCAGCATGATTAGAGGTACATCATAACTTTTTTTTTTGCAGAAATATACATTTCTGCTACTATACAAGAAAACTCTAATTAAAGAGTTCAAAGTTTCGTTCCCATATTTATATATAAATATGTACACAGCATTCAGTCCTATACGCATGTCAAAAAAAAGCTAATTTTTGACCAAGACTTCACAGAATACTGAACACTCAAATCTTCTAATACTCACGCTCCACCTTTTGGAGGAAAAAAAGGCAAAGTCTGCTTTAAAAGGGAAAATTCCTTAAGGAGGGCTTTTTTTAAAAAAAGTTGCATTTTGCTCCCTACTGTGGGAGTAGCATATAAATGAAGCCTTTCCAGCTAGGGAAAGGGCTTTTTAAAAGTCTCTTCATAAATAATTAAGATTAGTCCAAGATGAAGAACAGTAGAAGATGATATCCATTAATTTTTCTTTAAAAGGTTCATTTAACTGAATATGGATTCCCCCCCTCCAGATATAGCTGGGAAACAGACAGCATTGCCGTGGGGGGATGTATCTTCTTGTGCAAAAATTCAGCAAACACCTGCAAAACATTGAAGAGAAGCATATTTAGAAGAATGCTAACAGGGCAGAGATCCGGACAGACTGGCGCCAGAGAGGAAACCACAGTTTGAGCATTTAGCCAAACACTCAAAGATTGGGCAAACCCTGGCGTCCAGATGCAGCATGTGCATGCAAATGCGTGCTCCCTTTCACACACCCCCAATGAAATGAGCCTATTCAAGAGGAGACACGATCTGAAAGTGGCTCCTCTTGCTTAAACTCTCCACTTAAGAGGGACCCGAGAGGCGGCAGAACAGTTAAAAGCAACAATTTTCATTAGGAAGCTGTCCAATTGATCCCATGAGTGATCCTGGGCTATACAACTAGTTTCATTTAGATTAAAATATTAGAGAACTGCGCCTGGATTTAGGTCGAGTCCTCAGAAGACAACAAAACGCCTCAGCTGCCATGTACAAAGTATTTAAAAAACAATACAGGAATTTTAGCACTTACCAAACATACTTAGCCACAAAGTGCTTTGCTCTCATTTGACATTAACTCTGAGGGAAATTCAGCTGCCTGCAAAGAGGGGTGGGGAGAGAAAGAGAAGGGGTTAAAAACCCTAAGCATTTCAAGGAAGCTTGCAAACTACTCGGGGTTATTTCGAACGTGACCAACAAACAGCGATTATTGCTAATAAATAAGATGACACTGCCAAGGAGCCCCAGGTACCTCATAATTCCCAATTATTTGTTTAGGCCTATCACGACCCTGAAAGGGCACCCCTGATCAAACCCGGCAAACAGATTTAGAGCAATGCCGTTATAATCTAATCCCGTTTAAAGGCGGAATAAGCAAAGGAGTCGAGCACGGGCGGGGGAGGTAGAGAGAAGCTCACCTGTAGTGACAAGATGCTGATGTCTGTGTTCAAGGTGGTCAGAGGAGTTCTGGAGGAAGGGTTCTGTCCCGGTCTCTGGTGATGGAGGGTGACGATGCTGGGGTGCGTGTCGAGAGCGATCTGCAGGTCCAGGATGTAGTCAATAACGTGCTGCAGGATTTCCATCTTGCTGACTTTCTTGTTCTGAGGAATGCTGGGCACCAGCTCTTTCAGCTTCGAGTAGCAGTCGTTCATGTTGTACAGCAAACTCATCGGGTCATCCACCGGGGTTTTACTCCGGGAAATCCCCAGGCTGTGTTCCGAAAGGCTGTTTTTCCGGACGGATCGCACCGGACTAAAGGCTTTCATGCTGCAGAAGACTGGAAGAGCCGGCCGGCTTTGCCTTGCTTTGAAGCCCACAGCGCACTCCGGAACGGAGAAGAATTGTGTCGCCTTCAGCCCTCCCTGCCTGCCTGCCCCGCTCTCTTTTTCCTTCTTCCCTCCCTGTGGCTTCCCACTCTACAGTCAGAATGAAGTTAAGCCCCCCTGCTCCGGCTTTTATAGCCCTCGTCTCCCAGCTGACAAATCCGGGTTCCGTTCGCTGCTATTGGAGGGAACGATACACGTCTGTCAAGAGCCGAGGCGCTTCTCATTGGTACAAGTATCACCCAAGAGGCGGTCCGGACCTTCCGCGTTTGGAACCAATCCTTGGCCAAGAAGGCGTGGCCAAAGCACAGCTGTGGCGAGTAAATATACAGTACGCTGGCGCCGGGAAAAGCAGCGGCGGCGGTGGGGGGTGGGTGGGTGAGAGAGAGTGAGTTCTGCTGAGCCTCCGTTCAACCCGAGGCAATCTCGAAAGGACTGTAGGAACGAAAGGGAGTGAAGCGGTCATTTGTTTACAAATTTATTCAATCAATTCCACGCGGGAAATCCAGGTCTGGGCATTCTGCACAACTGGCTGGCATCCTTCCCAACCATAACCGGGGTAAAGAGTGGATTGAAATAATCTTGCTTTTAAAAAGACTCGATCTGCAGGCATGGCTTTTCCGATGCACTGTGTGCGCCAAAAGGGAAAGGCGACAACAGACCAAGTATTGTCAGGACAGGAAAGAACAGTGGCTGCTTACAATACTGTCAATCTTGTTCACTGCCATGTATGAAATGATGGGCGCTCCGGATTCTGCAACGCCAGCTAGCACCTTCGGAGGCAGGCAGAGTGACAACTGGGAACTGCTCCAGAATAAAGGACCCGTCCGTTCCCAGGACCAGGCAGTCATTGAATTTCACAAGTATATTAAAGAAGCAGTGCGGTTAATTGGGAAAGCGCGCCATATATGTATATGGTGGTATCAGCGCCTTGCTTCTTTCAGGTGTAGAGCCATTAGTTAGGCATACAGTGCAAACATGCTACAATCACCACAGCCAGAAACATTTCAAACAAGAATGCAAGTTTATTTTTCAAGGTACTCAATCCCTAAACAGATCATTAGAACATTCCAATGTATTCATGACATTTAATTACAAGGTGACAGTTCATTAATAGTCCCCTACTAAATTCTAACATTAAGTTGCTTATTTGCAATACCTGCAAATCGCATTCCACCACATTGCTAGCTTTGAGAACTGTCTTGTATTTGGCAACAGTTTATATGCTACCAATCCTTCCTTGCCTGTTGCCTTCCCTGTTCTACCAAAAGAAAGGTACTCATCGTTTTGCTATCTCTGGATTCGAGATCTGGCCAGGCACAGCAATTGAGTCATTTCCTCCCCAATGATTGCAACGTACATTAAAATATACTTTTTATTGTTTTGACTTATACCCACCTGCTGCCAATAAAAATCTTACCTTTTTCTTCTTCAGTAGGCAGGCATTAGTGAGTGATACTCATCCAATGAAGATACTGGAGGGGGGGATAATCAATTTGCTTGGTTGCTGTATGTTGTGCAAATTCAGATGTTATGGTTTCTACAATATGAAGTTGAATGTGTAGGCAAACTTAACCAATTTAAAGTTTACTGAATAAACATACCTAAGCAAATGGAAGCTATTCGCTTTCTCTTCCACTGTGTAAATGAAAAAAAAAATCACCCAGGTGAGGATTTGAAGAGATTGGGACTAATTGGGAGTGTGTTGGCTTCTGTTTATGGAACCTGAAAACTATTCTTTTTCCCACTAGTATGTCTTTGTTTCAGTGAAGATGGATTGAATGTAGGCTTGAGAACATACCCATTAGCACTGATTGAACAAGTTAAATCATGACTTAGTTAAATAGAGTTTGGAATATTGTGAGAGAGTATACTCCATGTGCAATAAGACCCAGAATTCACATACAGTAAAACTTTTAGTGGATGCCACAAAACACTGTTCTCTTTGAAGTTCTAGGGAGCTGGTAATGCATATTACTTTCATTCTCACCCAGTAATACAAAAACGGCTGTGATGAAAATTCTCTAGTTCATCTCATTGGGAAAGGAAGTTAAGAGAACCAATATTTGAAAAAATACATAGAATTCTTGTATTTACAATGTTTTATTCATCCATTTACTTGTATTTTATAAAGTAATCACTAGAGCTGTTAATCTTACATATATTACAAGGAATATCCAAATAATAGAGCATGCAGTTTAAGAAAGTACAATATAAGGCTAAGATCCAACTGAAGACTGATAGTATGGTCCTAGATGAGTTTATTTAGAAGTTCACTGAGCTTTTCTGTGTAATATTTTTTAGATGCTTGATCAGAACCGCAGCTAAGCATTTACTGCCAAAATAATTTTTCACTATGACATTACAATAAGATTATAAACACCTAAATTCATTCCCATAGAGTTGAACATTTACCTTATTTGTTCTATTACTTAATTACGTAAAGACTGCCCAACTGCTAGCAGTTCTTTTCAGACTCTGAATTAGTACCCTCTCCAATCAGACTTGTAATTTCATTGTTTTTAATTTGGCGTACCCTAATACAATAACAAATTGCAGTGATAATTATGTCCAGAGGCTATGTGAGTGAATCTTAAATCAGAATTGGACATGTTCATAGATAACATGCTATCTTCCAGAATACAGAGTTATTTTGATGTATAGTCAGTCATAATGGACAGAATTAAAGCAGTAGGAACATTTTCAACTTTACACTTTTGTTAACATTTCTACTAGTACTAAGCAATGTTAGTTTTGCAGTTACAATTATTCTAACCCTAATAAGGTGGATGAAATTACAATACAAATTAAGTTTATATAGTACTGCAATATAGGGCGGGACAGTCTTTGTGGCTCCAGTTTTCAAGGACAAGTAGAACTCGTTAGTTTAATGCCCCAAACCAAGTATTTAAAGAGACGCAAAGGCGGGCATGGCATTCATTTTATCGCATTGTGTGCAAAACTCAATCCATATGGTTAATGTAAGATCCAAGCAGATCATACACCAAGTCGGAAAACTGGGCTGAGTCAACCACGGTGAAACGTGTTGCAAATGTTGTGGGGGGGGAGAGAACTTACTCAACGTCTCCCTCACACCCCTTGCCCAAAGCAATGCCGTCCACTTTTTCCTCCTGCGTGTGTGCACTGCGGACTTGGGAAATCTTCCTAACGCGGCCTTAAGGAACACAACAACCGATACCAAATCCTGTCAACTTTTCGAGAGGGGGATAAAGATGCAGGCAGAGGGCAATATCTGGGCTAACCTTTTTAAACAGGAACGCCTAGGCGTTTGTTTACTACAGGAAGGTGGCTGGAAGAAGGTTGTCCAGGGATGCCGTACCTGGGAAGAAGCAATAACTTTTCAGGTATGCTCCCAACTCCCGCCACTCTGTGTGTGTGTGTGTCTGGGGGGGGGGGGGGGGGGGGGGGGGGGGGGGGAGGAGGTGTATATTTGCTTTCGCGCCTGAAAGATGCGTCCGCTCGCTCCGTCCAAGGACGCGCAGGCTTCCCGGCTCAGGAAGGGAAAGGAAGCGAAGTCCCACGCCCCGCGGCGGGCTCGCGCACACTCCTCCCCCCCCCCCACGCCTGCCTCCCGCGCGCCGGGCTCCTGCACCTGGTTGGCCCGAACCGAGGCCTGAGAAGCTTTCCCGGAGTCAGCGCGAGGGCACCAGCGCCTCTTCCCTTTCCAGCTCAAGGCCGCCCCCGCCCATCTCCTTCCCTCCTTCCCTCCCTTTCCAGAGGCCGGGCCCGACTCCTCGGCGCCAGTGCCGTGACGTCACCCCCCCGCTGCCTCGCTTCCCTCCCGGTTCGGGCCGGCGGCGCCTCTCAGGCGGCTGCCATGGAGACCGGGGCTCGGCCCTGAGTTGTGGGAGGCTGCTGCAGGGCTCCTCTTGGCGGCGGGAGCGGCGGCGGCGGCGGGCCTTTCTCCCGGGCCGCACCTGCACTGGAACCCGGCAGCTCTGGCAACCGGGGAGCCGGGGGCGTTCGCGGGCGAGCGAAGCCCGGATTCTCCTGGCCTGTCTTCGGTGACTACTTTTAAGAGCGCACCAACTGAAAGAGCGATGGACCGACGCCTGTTATTAACTGTCCTGACGCTACTCCATGTAATTCTGGCAAACCAGACCATTCCCATCGAAGAATCCGACCATGAAACCAAACGTTTATTGTCAACGCATAACATGTGTACAATGAAATTGAAAAAAAATGCAGGAGATTTGGGCTGCAAACATCCGGACTACCATGAGGTGGCAGCAAAAACCGCGTTCTGTGTCTTTCTTCCTATTATCCCTTGACTGTCCAGATTCTGCAACTCAGGATTTGGTTGGGTTGATGGATTTCATTTGTATCTGTGGTCGAGTCGAAAAACGACAGGATGACACATACTAGATAAATAGATTACATTCCCCGGTGCAACCCATACTTGCGCAAATGCCTGAGAGATAAGGGTAGGGGGCATCCTGCGCCTACTTTGTTGGGAGGGAAACTTGTGGGAAATTTCTTGGGGTGTGGGTGTGCTAAAAGATCGATTTGCAGCCCCCTATAAATCCTATCTAATCGGTGGCCTTTAATGTTTTTTATACATGAAGTTAAGTTTGTCAACAATTCCAAGAGTGCTGTTTGGATTGATGGATGTTGAAGACACTTCAAAATAAACGTTGGAGATTGCTGTCCCCTTCATCTGGTGAGCAGTACCGCTGATTTCTACATGGTTTACCGATAGACGTAACGAGAGAACAAAACGAGAGCGACCAACCATTTGTTTGAAAAGATATCAAAGTCTTCCCCACGTTATAATTTTGTCTCGGTTTAAATAACAGATCGCGACAATTTTGTTTATTCGATATATCGAACGCCTTGTGGAATGCTTTCCCCAGGCACGAATTCAAACGTGGGATTATTGACGGCCGTAAATTTGTCCTCTGATCTATGTCGAGTCATTAAATAGCAAAATCCTGCGTAGGTCAATTCAGAATTGGATTCAATGGGGCTTCTTCGTAAACTTCATTGCAATATAACATACTTCGGTGCTACCAACAAATCGGCTTGCAATAAAGCCGTGGGAACGTTTCTCTAGTTCACTGAATGATTTTCCACTCCCCCGCTCCCCCGAAAAAGTTATAGAAAGCTTGGGAGGG